ATTATCTAAAAATACTCACTCCATTGGCAAACTATCTCATTTACCTACTCAAATTAAGTGAAATTTGTACTCATTTCAAGATATTTTTTCCAGTGTATTCTATTAGCTTCTATTGATGTTCAAATGAATTAAATCTATTTGAAATGAAAATGTAATTTTATTTGTGTGGTACATGGTTGTTTGTTTGTTTTAAATATTTTCTGAAATATATTTATTATTTGTTAATTGTCTGAAATAGATTACTCTCATTCGATCTTGAACAAACCCCCCAGAAAATTGTAAAAGTGCTGAAACCTTCTGATGATCGACACCCCAATTTAATTATTCTTAGTTAAGACTACCAGTCTAACTTTACTTTCTTTTAATTATTGATCATTTTAATACTCATTTTATTGTCAGTAATTATTGGTGTTCATTAATTATTTAATTACCTAAATGCTAAAGCAATGTACCTTTGGTGTTATATTTCCTCTTCTTTGTTTTATTTATAGCACTTTAAATGTCTTTCTTATGTGATATATAAATAAACTAAACTTGCCTACTTTGTTATATTATATACATGTTTGAGTACTTGTTAACGTCTTTGAATACATCCACTGATAACCGCACTCCTTTCCAGAGCTTTTACAGTTGGACAGCAGTGAACTTGATCCCAGAGATCAAGTTCAAGTTACAGAGCAAACGCGGCTCTTTGACAATAACTGCAGCTCTGCTTTATTCACACTGAAGATGAGCACCTGTTGGATTAAACGTTTTTGGACTTTTTAGAATGTGACCCAATCAAATGTGAGAAACTTTTTTAATTTGTCGGACAAATGCACAGAAAAGCACAAATCAGCACATGTGCTCACCCTATCTGGCCCACTGTACTCTATATAAATGTTTTTCTCTAATTTGAATGCCAGGCTTTTCAGAAACTCTTTATAGTTAATCCCTAATCTTAAATAAAACTGTCCAAAGTGTTGGATGTTCCTTTAACTGTTTGAGAAGGTGTGGTGTGTAGCTGTGCAGATTATTCTTTAATATTTTCTATGCATGCTGTACCTCTTATTTTCCCCACCTCAGTTCTTGGGCCTTATATAAAGAAATGAACTGACCTAATCCATAAATCATAAAAAATAAGTGTCATGTTCCCAGTGATTTAAGAGTCTTACTTGAGGAATCATTGTGTTTTCCTGTACTCCGCTTGTATTCTTCCAGAATCTGTCCATAATGATACCTGAAGAAAAAAAAAAGTAAAAAATAAATTACAAAGGTTAAATATATCTTCATACATTCCAGTTTTTACTCAAAGTAAACAACATTAAAGGAAATCAAATACCATTGGCCAACAGGAATTTATAAAGATGACTGAATTTTCCTGAATGCTTGACTGTGTTTGCCAGTGAGAGACCAGCAGCTGGTGGCAGAGGGAAGGATTGATGAAAAATGGGAAACAATGACAAGAGCAATGACGTAAACAGCCAGAAGGATGATGACAAAATGGGAAAAACAAGGAGATTCTATTTCAGATAAAGTGAGAGGTATAAGGGGCTATGTAACCTATTTTTTTCAAACTTAAATAGTTCAGATAAAAAAAAAATCTGACAAAGATAATCCTAGAAAAAAGAAGATTAAGTTGAAAATTACTAGTCTGAACCAACCTATTCCAATGTCAAAAATTAATGGCCGACTAAACCTACTAACTGGTTTCTGTCACCGTTGGCAGACACATCTCCCATCCTGCATTTTAAAAATGAGTCTGTGATGTCATTGTGAATGAACACAGTCTACATGAGGGTTTTTAAGGAATCTTTCCTCCAGTATGAGTCACTGAGGACTTTTTGGAGTAACTCTGATAGCATGTCTTGTCCTTGAGGTATTCCACTGTTTCTCCATTTATGGATGATGGTTCTCAGTGCAGTTCACTGCACAGCGTAGTCCCACAGCTTTAGAAATTCCATTGCCAACCTTTCCTGACATTGTCAGTAGCTTTAAATATTATATCTTCCTTCAATTATTTAGATCAGGGCAAAATATGATGCTTATTTTTGGATATTTTAGCCTTCTTCATGTTGTTAGCAAGGTTCTGCTTAACTGATTTCTTAATTCTACCAATTGGGCAGATATCAGGTCTGGGTCTGGTTAATGAACTGTAACTCAGCTGCCACTAAATAAGGTTAAGCACATGTTCAGGTATTTATTTTTTGTATGTGTCAGCAAAGTTTGTCCATTACATGCTTTGCTTAGGTAAGGCATGTGTCCCTGTGCACATTTAAAAATAACACTGGCTGACCAAAATGCTGTACAAGCTATAAATATACAATGAATTAAATAGGCTGTGACCTTGCATCCCCCATAAAATTATGTTTTATTCTACTGCCTTTTATTTAGACAATAGATCTACAATTTAGGATCAGTAAAAGTAGTAAAAATCTAATCATTGTGCCGTCTAGGGTGAAAGCAGCTCCTTATAAAACCTCTTACTATTGCTTTACAACTATAATCGCTGCTTCCAGGTGAAAATGGCATTGAAAGTCTGTTGCTTACATCAAACTGAGAAAATATTTACAAATGAATGATACTTCAGTATAAAAAAAAATGGATGTTCTGTATAAAAATGGTCTCATAGAGAAGCAGGTGACACGAAGAGGGCCTTACAAAAGCCATGCTGCAGTTGTACAATTTAATACATTTTCTCAGGGACGTATGTGATCGGTCATTACCAGGTAGCACACTGCTGTGAGGTGTAAAGAAACTGTGAGAGGTGTGCATGTATTTGCCTTAAACGCCTCTACTGCAACTCTTAGTATGCCTTCACCCTCTTTGTAGATCTCAAAAACTGGACTAGTTTTCTATTCTTGTTTGGAAGATAGCTTAAGCTCAGACAGAAGGAATGTGGAATTTCCTGCAAACATCAGTGTCTCATGTCTTGCCATGGACTTTTCACACGGATTTAGGTCTGGATTTTGACTTGATCATTTTAACACAACTGTCTGCTTTAACCTAAACCGTTCCTTTGCTCTGGCTCATCGGGCCTCTGGATGGTCAAACTCCCATACAGCCTCTAGTCTTGTTGTTGCCTACAACAGGTTGTCCTCAAAGTCTGTGTTTAACACCTATTAACCTTTTAATCTTTACATAAAATGCCATTTAAATATAATGCAGTCTGTGTTTGCAACAAAACAAAATCTGAAAAAGTGCTCCCGTATGAAGGTACAAATGGAGCTGCTGCTGCCATGAACTCATTAAATTCAGTACTGTTAACAAGTGCTTAAGTATATTTTGTGTATATACTCTGTCCTTTCTGTCCCCACGAGGGTCCCAGCTCATAAAGCGTTTTATTTAACAAAAAATATAGTTTTCATTAGAAGGATAACTTTTAACTAGCTTCCATTTAATATTCTTTAAACATCATCAGTACTTTTGCACGACTCTGTATTCACAAAGTAATTACACCATTAAGTAGAGACATATGTTGTTCAGCATCTTCTGTTTCATTTTTCACCTTTCCTTAATGGGCTTTCTTGAAAGAACCTGCAGCGTGTTGCTTTTGGCTCCAGTCTCTGAGTTAGCTTTTCTCTGATGCTCATCATTTTCCGTTGTCCTCAGCGACCCTCATCATGTCCCCAGTGATAAATGTGTTCTGGTCCTCATTTACTTACTTATTCACTCACCTCATTATCCCCAGCAGTACTTAAGCTCCTCTCGTTCAGCCAGACAAACGCTGCGGTTAACTTTAGTGTTTCATTTACTCTTTCACTTGATGCACACCCTCCTTTGGTTTTTAACCCAAACCAGTTTGGTGCATTCATTTATTTCTTCAGCTATTTTATTTAAAATGTTTTCTTTTTTTTTTTTTTATGTAATTACTCCTTACTGCAATGCTTCTAACTTTTTGTATATCTTGAAGTTATCCGGTGGCCTACTGCTTTTTAATTCAACATTCAAATACTACACCCTCCCAAGATAGTATAAACTTTAGCCTTAAAGCTCATCCAATTATTAATGACTGCAGCGCATGTTTAAATCACAGCAGACAAAGTCTTTTTTACTCCTTAGCCTGGAAATGCAGTTTCTCAAACATGGAAATTTAAAACCTTACATTAAATGTGTTTTATACCTCATAGTGACCACTGTCTCCGTCCAGTCTGGCTGCTGGCTCTCCCATTCATCAACCGTGACCCAGTTAGAGCTCTGAAGAGCCAGTTTTGCCATAGAAATGCGATGCTTTGCAGAGACCAGACCTTGCTTTCCATACCCGTCACTCACTGGAGACACAATGCCCCCCACCACCTTGTACTGGCCTGAGGAGAGAGGTTATTAAAGCCGTTTTTCCAGGTCATGACAGTCAAAAAAAAAAGGAACATTATTCAGAAGATAAAGCACCCTCATAGAGATTATGAGGTTGTATCTTGAATGTTTCATCAGATGTGACATTTAAATATGGCTGCTTTGACTGCTTTTATTATAACTCTGTGATATAAGGGCTTGGCCATTACTTAATCTATCTACACAGTAACAATTTATAGCTTAGACTGTGCAACATTACTTAAGGTTCTGAAAAAAAAGATTTAAGCAGTGATTTGGGTTAAACCAAATCAAGATTAAGATGGACTACTTTGCAACTGTAGTAGGGGAAAAACAAAAAAAAGTGGATCACTTGCATGGACTTCAAGGTATATTAGCTTTCCTAAATGTCAAAGCCAAGAAAGTAGAAGCATTTATGTTCATCTCAGCAATGCACTATGTGGGGATAGCATGAGTGGCTTAAATTTGAACTTGGTATTTTGTGGTGCTATCATGATAACTTTGCAGTCTTTATGTGGTAACTATGACTACATGACACAGCAATCAGAGCCTCAATCACAACTCTTTAAAAGAACATGCCCACATAAGTTTCATAAGGATTTTACAGATTGGACGATAAGATCGACCAGCTGATATTTGGGGCGAGTGTTAGCATTTTTTTTCTTGTATTGGCATCATTTAATATGCCTTCCCTGATTTATTACTGCATTACATTTGTTTAAATTGTTTAAATTGTGGGGAAAATTGGTTATCATTGTATCACTTTTTCATGTAAATAAAATGATTGGTATCAGTGCATCCCTTAAAGAGCCTTTATTGATAGATGTGTCAAGGTGTGAGGTTTTTATCATCAACCTGAACAGAGAGACTGATTTTAATAAGACGCTTTTTTTAATTTTACAGATAATCCATGTCATGATCTCAGCACTGATGCTGGTATGATTCCTCACAAGACACACCTGCTCAGCTCTGCGCCTTTCTCGTTACCACTCATGTGACCCACCTAAGCTTATCAGTATAAAACCAGCCATCAGACCAGACATCGGTGCCAGATTATTTCGAGCCACCGGTGATACCTATTCCAGTATTCTGATTCCTGACATCCTGCCAGTTTGCCTGACCCGTCTTGTCTCTCAATTATCTGAGCCTGCCTTAAACCTGTCTGAGCTGAAAGCCTGTGTGTTATCAGACCAAGAACTGTGCCCTGATGCTACCTTAGATAACCCTTTGGATTCTCTCTGGAAATTGGATCACCTGGCTTGCACCTGGTCCAAGTTCTGATCTGTCATTATGACCAGTAACCAAGTTACCAAGCCAATTGATCATCTGCCAGTCTCTGTCCTACTGTGTGTGACCTTAGCCTGTCCTACGGCTCCATTTCAAGCTTCAGTTATCCTGCCTTTCATCCTCTGCTCTGAGGTCTGTCCTGATCACTGCCTGTTTCCAGCTCTTTAAAGCACGATACTGCACCTGGCTTGAATTTCAGATTCTTTGCCTGCTCTGGCATAAGATGGAGGGATGATGGATGTGGTCAGGGTTGATGGGAGGATAGATGAAGCTGAATAGGCGGTGACAGTGAAGGAATATCTGTTATAGACGGCAATGAACCTGAAGTTAAAGGAGGTTCTCCCTCAAGATGGATATTTATCCAAAACAATCAGAGTTATTTGGATGGTTTGGATCAGGCGTGTGAAGCTTATTAGCAGGACTAAGCCTTAAACAGGATCTATATCACGGGATAAAAAGAGTTAATCTTTATTCATAAAAGTAAAATGCCATGTTTTCAGCAGTCATATGAAGTTCATCTACTTTTATTGGTTATTTACCAGTAAAAGCAGATGACATAATAAATAATTCAGCAAGAGACAGCATATGTGCTCAAATTAAAAACTGTACTCATCACGGAGAGCTGCTGCTTGTACACAACCACCCATGCAAAGCACTTGAGCAGAGAGGAGTTCTGGATATTGATGGGACATTGTCTCAGTAATTCAGGGGGAAAACTGTGTAATCAGAATCAGACAGATCAGTCAGAATCAGACATACTTTAATAATCCCAGAGGAAATTAAGACCATGATCTACCTTCCCTGTCCTGTTAGACTGAAGATCTATAAACCCTGCACAACTGTTCAGCTGTTCTCTATGTCCAAAGCCAAAGATCAGTTGTTATTTTAATCATTTTTTTGCAAATCAAAGACAATCTTACATGCATAGTTGTGCAGTTTGCTCAGTTTACTAGAAAAACTGGAACTTAGGAACACAGCGGAACACAGAGGAGCTGACTGGGTTTGTCAAGTCCTTGCTGAGTCTGAATACCTTGTAAACGAAGCATCTGAGTAATTCAAATGAAAATGTATGGAAAGACTTGAGAACTGATGTTACCTGGTGCTCTGAAATCAGAGATTGAGCTGTTTTGCAAAGAGAAGTGGCTTTATATATGTACCTAGAAGATCTTTAACAGCAGAGGACTATGGTACTTAATGGGCGGGGGTGGTGCAGCTTAAGATGTTATGATATTATTTCTAAATTATTTTAGAAACAATGTTCCTGATTGAATTAATAGTCAATTAGGCCGTCTGTATCAATAAAGCACTTATCATTGACAAGAACAGTGACATTACAAAGGAAAAAAAAAAGGACGAAACTGGGGTGTTTGTTCAGTTCTCTTGAAGCAGTCATACACCAGCTGTATTTACTGAGATTAAATTACACACCAATAGACTCTATTAACTAATTAGGAGACTGCTAAGTGCAAGGGGTAAGGACTTATATATGGTACCTTGTTTTTTCTTTCTAAAACCTTTTAAGCTGTTTTTCATTTCCCCTTGAGTTAACAACATTGCACTACTTTCTGGTGGGTCTTCATTAAAGCTCCATAAAATGACTCTGTATATATGTATATATACCGGTATATATAAATACTCAATAAGGCATTGTGTAGGGAGATCATTCTCTTAACTTGTGATTCTATATAAACTTACAATGTTGCCTGTGTGTAAAGACATAACCTTCCTCAAACAACCAATAAATCTGTTTTTATTATTCTTATTTACCAACATATTCATTTATTATTTTTTTCTACTTGTTCCAAACTCTTGTAGAAACAATTTTTACCTGACCTCTTCGGTTTAAGTGAGCAGGCACTTTAAAAAAAAAAAAGGTTTTTGTTCTTCAGTTTGAAAAGTTCTGTTGAGCTACACATATTGAGCTGCATAAATCACATTAAAGTCGTTTGATTGACGTCAGCTTAATGATATAACTCATTTGATGCTAAGGGGATATCTTTTAAGCCAAAGAAAAACACATTTAGCAGAAATCGCATCTGTCACAGTTGCTCTGACCTGTGCTTTGCATGTGGTCCCTGGCCAGCTCAAACAGCCTCATGTGCTGATTGGTGATTGGATTAAAAGAGCCACAGGCTAACAGAACCAGTGGGACGCGGCGGGAGGCCATAGTGGCTGATTCTCTCACACTGCAAGCCTCAAAGTAACCTGAGGGGAAGACAGAAGAAGGTATTTTTTGTATCTGTTCAACGCTTCAACTACTTGGAAAATATTCCAACAGCATATATCATCATACACTATCTGTCAGTGAGAAGGTGTTCTTTAAGTTCCTGTGAGCTTTGGAATACTACACTTAATGACCTCAGCATTCATTTGTTGCTCTTTGGATTTATTTCAAGTACAGTTTCAGATATATATGGACATATCTAGAACAATTGGATCATTTTCTGCTCTTAAAAATAGAGGGCTACTTTCATAAAAACTAAAACTCAAACAGCATCTTTCTGTTTATAAAAGTGGTTTAAGTAAAAATGAATAGATTCAAAACATTCCAAACATCCAACCTTTAGAGGTAAAATGCTGTGTCTCTGTTTTATTTTTGTTTGTTTTTTGTTTTTTTTTATCATACACTTAAATATTAAAATCATCCAAGACATTTTTAAATCAGATGAAATTATCATGAGAATCCAGAATACTTTTCAACTGATTAACTGAATCATTACTAAAAAAACTACAAACCAACCTGGCTCTATGTACAGAAGCAAAAAAACGTAATCTCAATAGAATAGAATAGAATAGAATAGAATAGAATAGAATAGAATAGAATAGAATAGAATAGAATAGAATAGAATAGAAAATCCCTTTAATGTCTCACAATGGGGAAATAGTGGTACAGCAGCAGCAAAAGGTTATAGCAAAAGTGGTCACACAAATGTGTACCTTAAAAAAGTGTTTAAAAAAGTGTATAAAAATAACAGAATAGGTGAGAGTTAAGAAAATACTAATATAAATACTGTGCATCTGAAGAATAAATAATATACAGCTGTGGACACTTTTACAGTAATGGATATGTGAAAAAAAAATAGCAGCAGATATGTGCAACAATGACAGCAGCTTGTTATTTAACTGACTAAGACAGAAACTATGCAAAAATCAGCCTGAATATAACCTGTCTGGCAAAAAAAAGAAGGATAAAAAAACTGAAAAAGCAACGCACTGTGGCTTCGATCTAAAGAAATTTAAGGACAAGATAAGTAATTAATAGGGTTGGGTATTTTCGCCAAAGTCTTAAATCGATTAGATTTTGTTTAATACAGTTCTAAATCGATTGATTTCGATTCGATCTGTTTTTACAATAATGAAAGTGGTTCAACTCATGTATTTTAATTTTCCTGTCACATGAAACACAAAGTGCAAACTTGTGAATCAGACAGTTGAAACTTGAGATGTGAACAAAACTGCCTCATAAGTGCAAAATTGTTTGTGAAAACTGAAAAAGTGAAGCCTCACTCGAGCAAGCGGACGTGACACAGCGGGGACACAGCAGACATGCATGAGCTGCACTATCTTCACTGCACAAACCATACTTGCAGCGTTGCCTGTAACAACTACAGGGTGTTTGCTGGTCAGCTCCCATGTCTTCAGTCAACCTATTGGCTATATTTGCAGCTGTCTGATTTGAAGTAATCTTGAGTGCTTCTTTCCTGCTCATTTAAATGTGAACGTCACACGCGTAACTATAAAACTAATCGATCTCATTCCCTAGACATCGATTTTGCAAAAATGTAAAGGAATCAATTCAAAATCGATTAAATCGATTTTTTTTTACCCATCCCTAGTAATTAAGTGATTGACATCTGTCATTCAGAAAACTCTCAAAGTATATTTTAAGGTTATGAGTCTTTTATATGAATGTGAGAGCAGGTAAACCACAAATGGAGAAAACATGGAAGAGTGTCGAACGTTTTCAGGAGTATCCAGCTAATCAGAATTACTCTAAGAGTGGGACAGTGGTGGTACTATAATGGACTGGGGCTGCATTGCTAATTTAGGATCTGGACAACATTCTGCAATGGATGGAACAAAGAAAATGTGCTCTGTACCTAAATATCCTGAAGGAGACTCTCCAACGCAACCATCACATTGACCTAAAGGGCTCCTGGGATGTTGAGTACAACAGGGATTTCAAGCACACCAGCATGTTTACCTATATATGGAAAAAAGAGAGAGTTTTCTTTAGTTGCCTAGTAAAAGTCCAGAAATAACTCAGATTTATATACAGTGGTGTCAAGTCTTTATACTTGAAATCACTCATTTGTAGGTGAATTAAATCTGCAAAGAAGCACAGACTTATTGGTAGTGTTGTTAAAGACCCATTGGCCTCCATTTAAATAATATCTCTTGTTTGAGGAAAACCAATTTGTTTTCTAAAAGTAAATTATGAAAATCAAATTGTACAACAGATGCCACATGGTCAAGCTGAACCCAGAGACCACTAAGAGTTTGTTGAAATATCTACAGTACAGAAATTAGATGGACAAAATGCAGTTCAAGAAGCGTAAATAACAAGCTGATCACTAATTACTATGAAACTGACTACATTTAAAGGTGTAGTGGAGGATTTTTTGTGAGCTTTTGAAAAGACCGGGCCTCTCCACTTAAAAAGAAAAACTGTACAAGCACACCCCTGTTCCCGCTCCAGAGAGGGAACGCCTATTAAACAGGTGCAAGATCATACACAAGCCCTTTTAACCTGGTGCACGTTTTGTTTAAAAGTTGCTGTTTGCATCACTCATACAAGCTTACTTTCCGAAAGAAGATTTGCAATTTTTCCACTATTTCAGACTCACCACTGGTAAGTGAAAATGGGGATGAGCACTGAGGACGGCCTTACGTAAACATATCCCCAGAATAATTGACAATTAGGAGGACCACGTATTAAGATGATCCACTCGGAAAAGAACATCCTCCACTATACCTTTATTATTATGGACTTCACATTACAGTCATTCAAGTACTTTAAAGCACAGGTGTATCTCATTAAACTGGAATACCATTAACAACCACATAATTTGAGTTATTCCTTAAAAAAACAAACAAACAACAACTTGTGACCGATATAGATTTATGACACAAATATTAGCATGTTTCAAGCATTTATTTTCTGTAAATTTTGAGCTTGTGTTTTTACCCCAAATAAGTTTCTCTGAATATGAATATTTCATAACATAAATAAAAATGTTTACTAAATAAAAATTGTGGGCATGTACTGTAGAGTATATGCAGTTATTATTTGGACTATTCTCCTTGTGCATAAATTGCTGCCTTAGTGCAATAAGTTGCAGAGGCGTAGCCAGAACCTTTTTATAAGGGTGGCAAGGCAATAGCCAATGCACACTGACAGGTGGCCTAAAGTAGATCAACAACAGAACCTTAGGGTCAATCTTTACTGAGCCAACTGGAAAATTGACAACCACAACATCCATATTTTCCATATAAAGACTAACTATACTTTCCTCCAACCTTTGCTAACAAATAGACACATATTTAAACATCCTTGCTACCTAGTTATAAGTTATAGTGGATACAGTTCTTTGAGGTTTGAGTTCTGGGGCGAACATCTTTTCCATTGTCATTAGTTACCTACTTTTATCAATAATCATTCTGCATGAAACTGATATTTACAAGTACTAATATCTACATATTTTTTTCTTTACTAAGTTTTTATTAAAATAGTTATTTATCTATGATTAACTGAAGCCTCCCAGATGACTTGCATTTTCTCTTTACCCCATATGACAAAATCTAGTTCTGAAAAGAGCAGGAATTGTGTACTTATCATCTTTAATGTTAGTATATTGATGTGCATAATTAACCACAGTGTTTTTCATAAGGGTGGCCAGACAATAAGGTAGGTACACTGAACGGTGTCCGAAATTGGATAGGTGCATGAAGCTCAGGGTCAATCTACACTGTTGCAACGGGAAAATTAACAAGCACAACATCCATATTTTCTAAATAAAGACAAACTATACTTTCCTACAACCATTGCTGACAAACAGATGCATATATTTAAACATCTGTGCTTTCTAGATAAAAGGTATAGAGAATACAATTCTTTCAGGTTTGAGTTCTGGGGCAAACATATTTTCTTTTGTCATTACTTACCTACTATTATCAACAAATATTCTGAATAAAATTGATAATTAAAAGTATTAATATCTACAAAAATTGATTATTTACAACGTTTTTATTAAAAATAGATATTTATGATTTCACTGAAGACTCCTAGATGACTTGCATTTTCTCTTTACCCTATATAACACAAAATCCAGTTCTGAAAAGAGCAGGAATTTTGTTCATATCATCTTTAATGTATGTATATTGATGTGCATATTAAATCACAGTGCTTTTGTTGTCAAGTAATTATGTAAAATGCTTGTAAATTAAAATGCTTTTGAATATTCCAATTGAGAGTATTACTGCTGCCACCATCTGAAAAAATGGTAGGGGTGGCCAATGATTGGCTAAGGGTGGATATGGCCCCCCCTGGCCCCCCATCTAGCTCCGCCCCTGTGTGTTGCAATTTTAAAATACTTTTTCCTACCACCTAACTTTCCAATGACATTCTTTGATCCATGTAGCTGTCTAAACAGCCAGCATGATTTACACTTCCAGAAATTGTTATTGTGGACTTTCTAAAATACAGCTATTAAGTCAAAGATTTTCCTCACAATTTCTTAGCACGCACTATGGTTATAACACAAAATGTATGCATAAAAAAAAAACAACAAAAAAAACACAACATTTTATTACTCCTCTCATATTAAAACTCTACTTGCCTGAGAAACAGAGGCTGGGGTTTTCATTAGCTGTATAAAAGTTAATCAAATAAATAAATGCTGGTAAAACAATTTTTCTGTGTTACTGATATTGATGATGTATATTAAATGATGTAAATTATATATTTTTTCGATGATAGTCTATCCTGTAAGAAATACATATTTTTTTATACACGACCAGGCAATGAAGTAATTTTAATAATGTTGTAACAAAGGTAAAAGCACTGTGAAACATCGGTTTGACATTGAGCTGTCAGTAAGCATTAATTACCTAAGCTGAACAGATACTGCACGACGTGACACTGAGAACATTTAAACACTGTTACAGTAAAACACAGACCGCGTTGTATCACTACAACCCACACATCGTTTCATAGCAAAAGCCTTCATCTGTTTATTACCTTCAACTTTTACATTTGCCCGGCGTGTAACAGTTATTTCATTCCCCCTGCTTCGTGAAGTGAAAAATCAAGGGTTCCGCAGCTTAAAGAAAAGGCGAAAGTGCGACCCCTATGGGGGAAAGTAAAACTAGCATTAAATGAAGGAACTGTCCATGGTTTTGAAATGTGATAAAGATATAAACCACCAGATAGCCACTGCAGAACACTTTAGGTAGGTTTTTTATTATCTTACCAGATAAAACAAACTTTTTCCTGTTAAAAAAGGGAATCTCGAAAGTAAAAAACATGTATAAATAAAAAGCACACATTTAAGTATTCTTGTTTATATTGGCCACATATTCCCTTTGTCAAATATTGTATATCATTATTTTAATAATAATAATATTATTATTATTATTATTATTATTATTATTATTATTATTATTATTATTATTATTATTAAAATAATAATAACAATAATAATAATAAAGAAACATAGCAGTAGCATTAGTAATATTGATATCAGTTGTAGTATTGGTAGTAGGAGCAGTAGTATTAATAATAATCTATTTAGTAGTATGTGTGCATTCCAGGCATGTACATGAATTCTCTTCTCTTCTCTTCTCTTCTCTTCTCTTCTCTTCTCTTCTCTTCTCTTCTCTTCTCTTCTCTTCTCTTCTCTTCTCTTCTCTTCTATTACAGTTTTTACAAGTTACATGTTTTTGGTGTTTTTAGTATTCTAGTAATTTAGTGGGTTATGACAGATGCTTTCCAGCTGAAAATCTCCAATGCCCATGACATTTACTATATGATACAGTGACCTTTACATCATGCGCTAATGCAGAATCTATATATTCCAGGTAACCTTTCACTCTCTGTTGCTGCAAACTGATTGTTAAATGAAAAAGGAAATATTGTTGAGCTCTAATTGATTATTTGTAAAGTAACAAGCTAAGGGTCAGCAGTGGATGTTTTCAGCAGTCAGAAGTTAACATTGATCAGACTGATAACCTTGTTTAGTTTGTTTTTTCAATGCATAGGTAAAACATTTTTATTATTATTTTGTAGCTACTGTTGCCACTGTGTTTTGGTGTTATCAAATTCAGATGTTTTCCTCTGGGTATTTGTTGCTTTGTTTGTGTTCTGTATCTCTTATCAACCTAACCCACTTGAGGTCTTCGGCTCTCTCTAATCCCCAGACTACACATCTATATTCTGTAAAGGAAGAAACACAGGGGAAGAACTGAAGAACACGGAGTCATTTGAGAAAAAAAACAGTGATTCTGCTGCGGGGTGGAAATTTTAAGACTGGGAAGTTATGTGAGGGGGAGTAAAGCTGTGATGATCAGAGACTCTTATTATGGAGGAAACAGTTGGAAAATATCACATCATGTTGGTTCTGATGTAACATATTCCAGATAAAAACATCAAAGGGACACAGATTAAGAGACTTCTGTAGGATTTTAATCAAATAGTTGAAATACCAACACCAAATAGACCCAGAAGGCAGCAGTCACAAAAACTCTAAACTAAACATTGATTGTGATACATATAAAAATGCAACAAGCCATTTTTGATCGTTTTGACAGATTACTACTGTGAAAGCTATATTTGGATTATTCAGGGTCCAAATTAAAATATATTGTTCATAAATATCTGATGGAATCTAAAAGTTTTAAGTTACATTAGAGCTACTCCATTTCTGATCCACTAAATACAAGTTACCAACTTAACAAAGAGTTTGTTCTTTTTTACCCCAAATGTTACCTTGCCAAATGTATAGTGGTTATAAGGGTCAAAGTATAGCGCATATGTTGTAATTTGAATGACTAATCAAATCACTAAACTCATTCAAAGATATAGACATACCTCTTATAATTGTAGGTTAAAGACCATAATAAACTATTTCCCGGCTTTAACAACACATATCTCATACAGTTAAGCTAAAATAACAGCATGTCAGGGTGAAATATGTAAAATGCATATGTGTATATAGCCTATATTGATAGTTAAAAAAAAAAATAAAAATCAACGTATGCATTAATTTTTGGAGAATTAAACCAAAATTAAATTCAGTTGACCTTTTATGATTTAGACTTAGACAGATTTTGTTGAAATTTTGAATACATAGTATATACAAAAATTAAATTTCATTTATACAGCTTTCAGACAGTGAATGAGCAACAGCTTAGCAGTGAATTGGAACATTTCCATTCATAAAGTGCAGGAGTGATCAAATGTAAACAGTGTGGGAGATACACTGGGCAAAAGGCACTGAGTTCAAAGCAGTGCCAAAAATAAATAAAGATATATGGTGGAAAAAATGTAGCAGAACATTTGAGTTGAGTTCTATTAGGTATGATGTTATCAGTGTGATGCAGAGTCTCAATTTCGGACTTGATTGAGAGTTTTTTTTTAACAGTTGAGCAGTCTGAAGGCAGTGGATTGGTTTAGTGATATCTATTCACTAATATTACCTAGTTACGCATCTATCAGACAGGCAAAGGAGTGGCATTGTAGAAAAGTGTCAGTCCTGAAACAAGTACAAAAACTGACCTTGCTCCTTGTTTCTGGAAAAATTATGCCATGTTGTAAAATTTGTAAGTAACAAAAAGTGAGATTTTGTGCCAAAATTAAAAAATCCACATTTGGCATAGACAAAGCACTTGTCATTGCCAAAAGAGGATATTGAAAGCAACATATAGTGGTGGTAGCAGCTGAGCGGTAAAATTTCTTTAGATAGAACTAAACTTTTGTCATGGCGGGTGTGACTGGTTTCAAATATCAGGCAGGTTTGACCTGAACCTGTCTGAAAGATAAATCACTGTAAATCCAGATTAAGAAAAGGATATGCACCCCAGGTTCAATTGTCAGGAAAAAATTTGGAAGGCTAAACATCACAATAAAAACCTAAATAAAAAGATGTTGTAATTGGAAAAGATGTCATGTCAAAATGCGATATATTTATAGATTCCTACCATTCCAGACTGGTGGCTAAATGGTAACATTAAATGAAAGGTGATTCTAGGTATAAGTGTTATTGTGCTTTTTTTTTTGTCTTATTATTTATAGTTTCCCTCTGACATATTGTGTGCTGTTAATGTTTAAACCCACAGGATGTGTTAGGGGGTTTGTCGTATGAAAAATCTAAATAATGTAACTTAAGAGCTCTATTGTCTCTTAAGTCACGACCTTTAACCAGGTTATTCACCCCTGAGAAAGAAGTTTAAAGATGTAAGATGTTATAACAGAGCATTTCAGAAGGGTTATGTTAAACAACAATCAAAATGATTTGGTCCATTCCTTAGCTTATTCTTTAGGCCTATTAGTTTTGCTAAAAGTAAGGTCAAGTTAACCAAAAACATCAAAAAAGAGGAAATAGTCATTCTTGAAATTAAAATAGTACCATGTATAGGCCTCAACTGTCTCGCTCGTGTGGGGCAAAAAAATAAATAAAAAAGTAATAAAAAAATTCCAATGTATGCTACCTTTAGGTGAAACCTGTATTTTTTTGAATTACTCAAATCTCCCTGCACCCAAATGCAGTTTTATTTTGAAAGGTCATATCCGCAAACTTGTTAATTGACGCTCTCTCTACGTCTGCACCCCTCTCTCTCTCTCCTCCCTCGCGCTTATAGTGACTGGATCCGTCGCGCGACCCGGCCAGCTGAAGAGCCTCGCGCTCCAGAGGAGAGACAGGACTAGAAGAGAGGAGAGCAGGCGAAGACACCTCACTCTCAGCTCCGTAGAAGATGCAGATCCTCAGGGTCCAGGTTGTGCTGCTCTGGCTGCTTTCGGACAGCTCCTGCGCACTTGGTGGGAAAGGTAGGAAGATGGCAACAAGATAGACGCACTCATTTGAAGGCTTGACACAAGTTGCAAATTGGAGTGACAGCCTTTAAAATGATTATTTTCTTTCCCATATGAGTATCCATGAAGTCGCTCGTTAAGTTCTGCCAGATATGGAGTAGTTGTGTATGTTGAGGTTTTGTTAGAAGCCAGTTTTTGCTCCACTGTGATCAGACGCTAGATTCAGATTAAGACAGGTTATAAGAATTCTTAGTAGGTCTCTATTTATTGTTGTTGGGGCAAATATTAAGTTGGATCTGTTATCAGGGATAATACAACTTCTTTTATTTTTTAACTAGTAAAATAAAAGAGGCTGTAGGTATGGGAATATTATCTACATATGAGTTAATGTTGTTTATTTATTGATTTATTGTTGTTTATTTATTGATTTATTTTCTTCACAATATTCTCTCCATTTCAAGGGCTAAAATATTCTAATAGCACTGGATATTTATAGTTATGTATTTATTCCACTCTATGTACTCCTTAGCAAAATAATTTTATTATTTTGTGTTTAAAAATCTGCATATATTATTATTTATTTATTATTATTATTATTCTATTTTTGAATGGCAAATCGATGGAGTTCATAAACATGATGTTATTATTAAGTATTGGTGCATTTCCTTGTTTTCTTTTTTCAATTATTGCAGCATCTTTTTGTGTTGCTTACGATTTCTATCTA